AACATTTAACAAATGCTAGAAAATGAGAAGTTAATGTTAAACCGTAATATGCGAGAAAATCTTAATAAAGAATAAAATAAATCCAAAAAATAAAGATATTTCTTATCCTAGTCTTATTAATTACTACCCTGCTCAAAACTCAATTCAGTTAAATAAAAATCTATTGTGCGTGGAAGCTCTAAACTCAATGGGTTGATTTTTGACAAATAAAGTACGAGAAATAAAATATGAAACACATACTACAAGAATACAAAGATTTACGTGGTTCACCCCATAAGGGCTACAGGCACGGCGAACAGAAATCCACTATACCAATGAAAGTTACATAAAAAATTTTGGAACAAACATCGATAAAAACCTAGCCGAGAAAATCCTTTTAAACCAGAAGAAGCTACTACTATTCCCATATGGTGACCCAAATAAGACACAAATTTTCTGTGCTTTCATCTAATATATATAAGATTAGGAACCATATTAAATAAAAAACTTCCATATTAAAAATATCTCAAAAGATAAGAGATATATCCAAAAATCTTAATCTTATTGGATTTTTATTTCCTTCATGAAACTTATCAATATCAATCTCAACTACATAAAAAATAAGTAATTTTGGATAACACTAAATCCAACAAAACCCCTATCGGGATTAGGAGAAAGAGAGGTAGAAAGACTAGTATTACCTTTTTAGAGAGAAGAGGCCAGAGAGAGCAATAGTTTGCATTTGCAAAGAAGAGAGTTTTGCGGGGAGAGAAAAGATTCAAATGCGTGTGTAAAGAGAGATACTAGTGAGATTAGCTTGAAAGCGCGTTCTTAATAGAGAGAGAGAGAGAGAGGTAGGTTTATAGGTTAGGGGTTAATGAGAGAGAGAGAGTTAAAAGTTTATAGGTTAGGGGAGAGAGAGAGTTAGGCTTATAGATTGGGGGGAGAGAAAGCTAGGCTTATAGGTTAGAGAGAGAGAGCTAATCTCTCTATTAGCTTTTATTTGTGAGATCGATTCAGTTTTGTGTGTACTGGTGTACGTATGAGAGATGTATTTATCAATTTTACATGTAACGTGATAGTGTGAGAATTTTAGTTACCATAACTCAAGTTCAAATCTTAGTCACACTTTTTGTTTAAAAAAAATTATACCTTTTTAATACCTTAAAAGAGTTCCAGAGCCTACAAAGTTGGGCCCTGGTGCGGAACTAATAGGGCCAGACCTAGGTCACTTAATCCCGAACAAGGTTGGGCCTTGGCCCAAACCTAGTAGGGCCAGACGTAGGTCATTTAATCACTAGCAGACCAAGTCAGGACCTAGCCTCTAAGTGAGGCTCAGACCGGTCTGAGCTCTGAGCCTGGCCTAGCCCACTATGGTTCCATGCTAGGGCTGGGCCTACCCCAAACTTGCCCATTGCCAAGCTTAGAGAAGGAAAATGTGACTTGGAATTGTTTCATTGGTCCAAGGGTATAAAGCATCCATCTTAAAGATAGATGCAAATAGGTAATCTATCTAAAAATAATTGCAATTAAACGTCCAAATGTTTTTCAATATAATTATCATTTTTTAAAAAAAAAATTTATTTATTTTTATATTCATGATCTTCATGTTAAATATTATATATTTTTTAAAAATTATGATTAAATTATATTTTAAAATATATTTATTGCCGAGCCTGCATTTGTAAACGTGAGCGCTTAACCGCATGGTAACGGCGTCCTAAACAAATTTGGAACCTACTTGTCCACCCAATGCTGAACACGTGGCTGTAAAGGCCTAAGTTTTTTAACCTAAATTTATAGCAGGCATCCTCGGTCTCAACAAAGAAATCTTGGTCCCAGTAATAAAAAATCCAAAAAATAATTAGTTATAAGAAAGAATACACTATGAATACAAGGTGTTATTTTTTAAAAGTAAAAATAGTATTAAATTGAAGCTTTCTTCGAACCGAATATTTTTAGGGGAAAATGACTTTTATTCCCCTCCCCGAAACTTCCAACCCTATTATTAGGGTCTTTCGTTCAATAAAATCCCTTGTATTCCCTCAATTTAAAATTTGGAACTGTTAACCCCCTAATTGTGTTATTTTTTTATTTTTTTTACGATTTGATTTTTTTATTTTACAAAAATTTTTCTTTCCTTTCTCTTCCGTTGCCTAGAACCAATCTTACGTCCGTGGATCCCACTCTATAAATTTAGACACGAAAAAAAAGAATTGAATTTTTCTTTAACATTATGACCTATTTTACAATTATATAAATATCGTTTGAACTTGAAAAATGATTAATCAATATATTTGTTACTATTTTTAATGGTTTTTATTATCTATTTATTAAAAAACTTTATCAAAATACATATAAGAGATGAACTATTTAATAATTAATATATTATTATCATTGTTATTATTATAATTATTAATTAATTATAACAATTATAAATTATTATCATCAATAAAATTTATATATCAAGTCACAAAAAAAATATGGATGACAAATGTATGGATTTTGCATTTTGTAAAACAAAAAGATCAAATTTGTAAAAAAAACAAAGAAAAATATAATTAAGAAGTTAACGGTCCCAAAGTTTAAAACTTGAAGGGGTGCTAAGGATTTTGGTTAACCCAGGGTCAATAGGAATGGAAATGGGTCAATAGGAATGGAAATTTCAGCGAGGAGTTAGAGGTCAATTTTTTTTTTTTTTTGTTTTTATTTTTTTGTTTTTTTTTTATTTTTTTGTTTTTTTTATTTTTTTTATTTCTTTTTTAAAGAATGATGCAAAAGGACCGTTTAGTTTTGATACAAAGAAATCATAACCACCTTTATCTACCAGATTTAAAATTGAGTATTATGAATGCATTATTGACTAACGTCTCAAAGGAAAATTTCTCGAAATTCATAATATTCCTAAATTGCCTAATCTAAAATCATGTGGCTAGAAGTTTTTGTGACCTCTTGGTAACAAAGACAAATACACAAATTCCCTTTCTAAATTGCCAATATATGTCTAAACAAGATCTGATTATGAGCAGATATTGCAAACTGTACATCTACTCCCGCATAAAACATACTTGAGAGAACTATTTCAATATAAAAAATTTTAGTCCAGCTTAGAATCTCGAGTATTTCATAAAAGGAAAATTGCCTAGATACTTTGATGACCATACAATTTTTTCAAGCACACATACAAAGCCTTTGATTTTTTGTTTTAAAGTTGGTGAAAATTTTGGGGTTCACACAATGTAGTGCTTTACCCAGGGGAGGGAAGGGCACGCCTCCGCAACATCATATACCCCTAGACTTTCCTTTTTGAGCAAATTATGTATGGATATTATTGAGAGGGGTCAATCTGGTTGAGCACTCATTTGTCCAAAATTACAAGTAACCCTGCTCCCCTCTCTTCGAAAGGTTTTTTTTTTTTTTTTTTTCTGAAGTTGTCTTTTTGTCCGACAATGCAAAGTACCAAATATGAAAAAGACTACTTTTTTTTCAAAGTAAAAGAATTATCCAGTGTTTGAATTACCGGACAGCTCTTTGGAGATTTCTTCATATAGAGCAAAACCGAAGAAGCTTTCCATTGGCTAGAAAAATTATCGCAAACAATGGTTGAGATTTGGGGAAAAGAGACTTGCCGGAAAGAAAGGTACCCGCTGGAAAATGGCCCCTCCAAATCGGATGAAGAAGAGAGAGAAAAGATCGCAAGTTGCTATGCTCCTACTGTGAATCTCCATCTCTCCAAAGGAGTCGTAACCAAAGGAGACAGCTTACAAGAAATGTGGAAGATTAATGGCGCTTCTTTCACTCCCAGTCAGCAAAGCCTCTTGCCAAGGTTAGGGGGCATGCCAAGGTTAGGGGCATGGCATAAATCACAAGACATAGCCTTGAAGCCCTGGTTCTCTATTGAGTGCCATTTCCAGAGAGCCCCATTTACCCAAGAGTTACAAGCGCCAAACCTCTTTGGAAAACCAGTCCTAGAATACGATCTGGTGTGCAAACTTCAGAGCTCCACTCTCTAAAGAGAAGCCCTCTCGATCCTCACCTCACCAAATCCCTCTCTCTAAAATACTTATAAGTACCTTATTCAAAATATTATTCTTAAAACCTATTTTGTCGTTTTTTTCCCTTCAAATTTTCAATTGTTAGTGGTCTTGCATAAAGAAAAGAGTTGCATGAAATCAATCCTTAAAAAGTTTTCATCATCAAATAAAAACCCCTTTTTTATCTCTCTAACATTAGATCCATTCATCAATAACCCCTTATCTCTCTAACATTGGATCCATTCATCAATAACCCCTTATCTCTCTAACATTGGATCCATTCATCTCTGTAACATTGGATCCATTCATCAATCGGTTTTTCAATTTTTCCTTTTTTTCGTTTCTTTGCATACCATCGGCCAGAGCACTGAGCCATCCCCTCACCTCCCTAGAAAAGAGCAAGAGAAGCAAATGAAGCAGGAAATAGGGCTAGCAAAAAATGGGACTCACAAGAAATAGGACCCACAGGTTTTGAAAAGTCAAATAGCTATTCGGTTTTTCAAGCATCGGACAACAAATTCACCTAAGTTTAAACGTACGCTCCATATCCGATATTTGCATTGCCGAACAGAGTGGCAAATTGCCACGAGGCAAAAAAAAAAAAAAGTGCTGTGCAGGAAAAAGGGGGGAAAAGGGGGGGGGGAGGAAGGGTGTTGATGCTTGTAATTTCGGACAAATGAATGCCCTTATATCCAGGTTTAGTGTATATATTTGAACAATTGTCTACCGTTATCAAAGACATGGCTGATTGTATTGGTGCCCTTATACAAAAATCAGTTTTTGCATGTCCAGGATATGTGCATGAAAAGCTGTTTGGCTCTTTTTTGGGCATCATATCCAGGTTTAGTGTAACCTCAAATGGCCCAAAAGAAGGTTTTGCTCGTTGCTAAAAATAGATGGAATAAGCATATACTAGTTCTCATTTTTTGTCACACGGGCACGCACCACCGAGTTAACCCTCTTACAGTATTTAGGACATGCAAAAGCCATTCCTTTCCCAGCAATTCATCTCTATTACACCTATATACAAAATATATTTTTGCAACAACACAAAATTGCATTTGATTCATATCTATATCAGCAACTCACATATAGTACTGAGTACATGCACAAGCAACAATGTTTTCCAACTATCCAAAATTGGACTCAGAAAGGAAGGATAAGAAACAACCAATGTTCACTCAAGCAGAACTACGTGATCCAAAATGAATCAAAAAGAAAAGCAAGCTCGGCGTTTAGAAAGAATCAAGTAATAATTCAAAAATGAAGTTTTATATATAATATAATAATACCATGTTATTAGTTCAGATGCGGCTAGAGTCCCTTCCGAAAGCGAATCGTTTTGTCCAGTCAAACATGACCAGCACTCTTGTGCGCCAGCTGACTTGTTTGCTTCAAGATCAAAAATTAAGCATGGGTCAGAATATAAAACCCCAACACTTCAATCAAACAAAAAATTTAAAACCATAACTGAATAGAACTAACTGAAAAACTATTGAAAAACTTCATAAAAGCTTTGTATAATTCAGATGCCAGATCACTGCAACTGAACAAACTTGTGAAGAATCTAAAAAGACTCAACTGAATTTCAAGCAAATGCATGAGTTCTGAAAATTTACTTTAGAAGGAAAAAGTTCATGAAAGATGGAACATGACAGAAACTAGGGAGGAAGCATATACAAGGAAGCTTTAGCTGCATATCAGATGCATTATTTTAGAGTGGTCTAGTTCGATGAAAAAAATGGTATTGGCATAATTCACAGTAAAACAAGATATAAACATTTATATACTGCAAGTACAATCCATTTTGAAAAATGTCATCTGTTAATCTATAAGTTGTATAAATAGAGCAGATCCATATTTGTTTAGTTTGCTTGTTAAGAAACTGGGAGGATCAAGCAAAACGCAATGTTTGAAACATCTGACAGGTAGCATCAGTTACCACCTCCAAAAGCCCATAATAAAGCAGATCCATATTTGTTTAGTTTGCTTGTTAAGAAACTGGAGGAACAAGCCAAACGCAATGTTTGAAACATCTTACAGGTAGCATCAGCTATCTCCTCCAAAAGCCCATTCATAATTTTTTGCAAAAGCAACATGGAAGACTCCAATACCAGGGAAAAGTGAAGCACAGGTTACCTTGCTTAGCAGGGAGGAGGAGGAGGAGGAGAAGAAGAAGAAGTAGCACGGATCACCTTGCATATACAGAGTACCAAAGCCATTGACTGCTGCGGCCTATGGAGACCCAATCACCAGGAAGTTGTGCAGCAGCTTGCTCTCCTCCTAGCGGAGCAAATTGCCCAAGATGCTTATACCTGATCCATTCATCAGTATCAGAAGGTTATGAGAGAAGGTGAGGTTTCTAATCTACAATGGTGGGGCCACAAAATTTAAAATACAATATCTAGTAGTATTTTGCACAAATTTTTTGGAACATGAGTCACATGGTATCTCCAGGTTAGGAGCCTTTTGAGCATACTGTTACTCAAATTTACATCAAAATGGCGTGTTACTAATTAAACAAAAAGGCTGGAATATCCTGTGAAATATAAACACCAAGGAAGCCCTCTATCAATGAGATATTACACACAGATCCTCAACTTCTGATTCATAATATCATGCAAGGCCAATGTGCAACTAAAATCCCTCTAGGCAAAACCATCTTACAAAGTAGAAATATTCTACGCATAATGTCAAGGCCATTATAGAAAAAAAGGGATTAAATGCCCCTATAAAAAGTACAAGGTGTAGAGCATCAACAAAGAGATATAAATAAGAAAAAAGTCTCCATAACTAGAATATTGTCCAATCCCAATTAGAATGGGTTGCTACAAATACAACTTACATATCCAACTTAACTCTAGTGAATGTTAATGGGGGAGATTTACTAAACAAGCAGGTCCAAGTAAAGAAACTGGTTTCAAATTGTCTATGGAAATACAAGGACACTAACTTGTCCACTATTAAGCTTCTCCTCCACAATATGTCAAACCAGTCCAAATGTACTCAGAATAGTCTAAACTTACCAAAAGAAAAATTAGAATCCATGAGGACCCAACAAGAAAGAACAAAACACAATAACCAATCAAAACAATTGCTAGAAAAAAAATCACATAAACTATGTACTTAATCTTTAAGGAACAACTCATAGAATACAATTGCAAAATTTGTTTTCTATCACCTGGCTGTTTTGTCTTATATATCTTTTTTTAAACAAACAACCTTATGGCATTTTTGTTCATAAGCTAAGGATAGGAAAGCTGGCATGAAAATTCACCATAGGAAAAACATGCTACTATGCCAGCTTCTATTGTATTATCTTTCGTATATTTTTTATCTGCCATGCTCTCATAGTGTTACATTGGGGTGTCATTTAAGTGTTCAATAGACACATTCTATATCACAATACATTGGGATCTCATTTAAGTGTTCAATAGACACATTCTGTATCACAACTTTATAAGGAAAGAAATTCCCTAATCATGGGAGCAAAACAAACTGATCATAAATACAAGGGACAGAAAACTAAGCACAGGTGTGCTCAACTGAAATAGAACTACCATGCAGCTATAAAATGTTAATCTCTTGCATATTCAAAAATTTCATCTCGTAAGTACATATTTTGTCATGTTTTCTTTTTTCAGTACCTATTTGTGAACTTTCAGCACTAAGGATTTTGTGAACATAAGCCATACAGCCAACGGATAGAGCCAGACGACCGGCCGGATCAATACCAAACAACAGAACCAGTTGTTTGCCCAAAAGGTTACACGGCCTTGCTTGGCATTTAGTAGTGCAATAGGATGTCCATCATATAGATCTAAAAAAATATGTCCGGTGTGGGATCGTCCTTCCCCTAAGCTATTTTGATCTGAGCTCAATCCCATAAACGAGGCTGGGGAGCCTGCAAACTACGGCTTTCAAGTCCAGCAATCTCCAGAAGATTCAGCAAGGTCAGTATTGGATGAGAAAGAAATGATTCCCATTGCAGACAGCAATAAAGATATCCAGGCTTTCTGTAAATTGCATCTAACCACCATCCTCCAGAAGCATGTATGCCAACAAATATGCTAAGCCTGTACAAGGGGAACAAGGTCCCTTATACAGGGCAACATTGTGGATTAGCTCACCAGGTGAATATATAGTTCCGCCTAACATTCCTATGTCTTGCAATAGGTTAATGCATATATCCGTTTTGGATTATCCAGAATTGAGCCACTTCAATACCCAAGAAGCAATTCAGTGGAACAGAATATTTAATGAACACCTTACTAGATGTCCTTTTAAGGCCCTGGATACTTATTATCATCTCCAGTAAGCATCTAGTGCATGATTTCCAAAAAGCTAGAAACTTGCCCAGAAGCACAACAAGAACAACCATGAGACATACTTGGATATTAAAAAAACTAACTGAAGTCTTGCAAGCTTTATATAGCACAAAAATTTATAAGACTATTTTTTTGTATTTTCAAGAGCTAAACACTAGCAGCAACATCTCCGACTTTTCGTGGACCATCTTCTGGTCATAAACCCTCATCACCACATTCAATTCGTTGGAATTTATAGAATAAAAAGAAACATACTGGAAGGGGGGGAACCGATGACGACCAGTTCCCCTAATTCGAAGGGGACCTTCAGGCTCTTCCTCACACTTGTGCATACGGTTAAAGCATCTGGCAAGATATGCACCTTGTTGAGCAGCAACCTATAAAACACAGAAACAGAGTGGTGAAACAATATCCCAAAGAAAATCCCTATGAGATGTCTCCAGGATCAATAATTAAAATCTTATCAGAATTTATAGGGCAAAATAGACAAAAATTGACCCTTATAAACTGCATTGGAAAATTAGAACATAGATTCACCTGTGCCGTTGCTGGCAGATTCTTCATTTGTGAATCAACATTTGCGAAAGCTGTCTTGAATTGTTCTATGTCCAATTCCTTAGATTCTCCTTGACCACTTTCTATGAAACCTCGCAACATATCCATAACATCCTCAAGTTTTTCCTTCTTCAGGTAGATTTCCAGTTGAGGATACCTTATACGGATATCATCTATGACATTTTTTATTTCTTGGACTGTTAAAGTGCCAGAGTTGTCCTTATCTGTAATTCTAAAGATATCTGATATATCTTCCTAAAAGAGTAACACTGGTGAAAATTAATTAGTCTGAACATTGGCCTTCGACAAAGTCAATGAAAAAGAATATATCAACATTAAGAAAATTTGATACAAACGAATACATCAAACACCCCATTTCATACTTGAAGTGTATAATTGTCACCCGGAAATTCATAAATTCAAATTCAAGTGGAAAATTCAAATTTATATGTAATTCTCGTCATTTAAATAAGTAGGTATCATATGCCCACACACATGTTGGTATTAAATATATGTCGGAGTATCTAGTATGTGAGGCTAAAAATGTATTTCCTGACTCATCCATACAACCAATATTTTGAATAACATAAGCGTATATATATTATAACATCGTTAACCTTACGCCTAACACATAGCAACATGGCAGTAGAGTTGGCGCCTTCCTTAATTTGCCTTCCTCAAGAGGTCACATGATCAAACACCAACGACCTCCTTTCTTTGTTATCTTTCCATGTTAAATAAAATAAGTTAGGCCTATATTATAAATAATAATGCCTACTTAAATCAGTAACATCAAAGAGGCATCAAAGAGGCCTTTAGGGTAGTACAGTGGTTTCATGTACAAGATGTCCAAGGTTCAATCATGCAGCGGTCAAGTTTTTTTGATCTTTAGAATATAAAAGCTCAAGAAAATGAGAAAGGATTACATTGCATTTTTCTAATATAAAAGCTCAAAAAGAAATAAAAAGGGTTTCATTGATAGGATTTGAACATGCAACCTGACTGCCTCCAACAGCCACTCTACTGCCAAAACCATGGAGTATATGTGTTAAAAATGCCCGACACTTATATATAATGAGTCGATACATACTCAATTATTCATCACGTCATCAAACACTTATGGTCAAGTGTGGACTACATGTCCGTGGATGTCACGACACATATCTAAGTGTCACTAGGTGTCAACACGACACCAAACAAATTTCAAGTGTCCATGTAACAGTGCAAATAACTATGCATAAATTCATAAGAAACAAGTGTAATATTCACCTCCACATTATTGTTAGTGTAATAACCTATCTGACAAAAGGAAACAGCGCACAAGAACTTTATCTTTACACTATTATTATGTACTTTCCTTAATGGGTGTTTGACATTGTCTTTAGTAAATTGTCAAAAAAAAATTCTACCATGCAATTTTTCTTCAATGATGAGAAACCTGTCTTAGTTTCATGCCCATTTTCAAGAGTGCAGGGATATAAATTCATTAGCACAGTAATCACTCAAAATAGAAACATACCATGATTTTTCGCTGATTTATTGTGGCACAGTCACCAAGTGCATAAACATTATCACATTTTTCAACTCTCAGCCATTCATCGGTGGCCAAGACACGTCTATTAGTCTGCATATAGAACACAAGAAACAACACAAGAAGAAAAATAATAACATTCAATTACTATTGAAAACACAAACTATAAATATTACAATGGTAGTATTTATCCACAATAAGGAATATTTAAAGGAAAAAGTTTATATAAGTGCGAAGGCTCTAAACAATCAAATTAGAGTGCACCTCAAAAATTTCACTTGATGAGGTTGTTTTGATGCCCAAATATTCTCAAATTGATCATCTCAACCTCAAGATGCATGGACATGAGAAAAAAAGGATTTCAAAATTTGAAAATAGTGCAACTTTTAATGCATTTTTGGACCGTCAATTTTAAAGTTTTCATAGATGTGCTCGATATACACTATTTTTTAAGCTTTAAATTTTATAATTAGAAATCAAAATATATATTAAGACTATCACAAAGATTTCCAATATTGAAACCACATTTCTCGACCCTATTTGAAGGTGCACTTTACTTTGATTGTTTAGAGCCTCGGCTCTATATAAACCACACCCATATATAAATAGAATAACCACACAATCCAATATGCTGAACAAACTGAAGGAAGCAGGTATAAAGTTATGCAATGAACCTGACCAATTTGTTTCATGAAATCCATAATAACAGGTCGAGTTCCAATCCCAGTAGACCAAACAATCATTCCATATGGTACTGACAATATTTCTCCAGGCGCTTTACCCTTCATGGTAATGCACTTATCTGATACATTCGTTACTTGGTACCTTTTTTTCACGTCAACACCATCTCTTTGGAACTTCTGTTCGGCAAATGAGCTGATTCTACTATCAAACCTACAAAACAATCCTTCATGCATTAGCTTTCACCCTACAAACTCAAGTTAACATTTTGTTGAATAAAAACCCGGAAGCAACAATAAAGATATGATATGGCATGAAATCAAGTTGGAAAATAGCTGTGAAGGGCAAATGGTGTTAGATTGTAAAAAGGATACCTATAATGAAATTAACTATTCTAAACTCCACATACACAAATATTATAATAACGTTCTACTTTACTAAGTGAAAATCATAATTGTAGCAGCTATACCCAGATGCGTTGACATACAATCAATTAAGGAAAAATAAGACCAAGTTTGTGGAAGCATTTGATATTTGATGAATGACAGTTCAATAATGCTTTCCAATTTTATCTTTCTATTCTTGTTTGCAGAAGAAATTCCTCCAAGCATAATAGTAGACAAAGATTTAAAAGATAAAATAGTTAATGTCAAAAGAATAAGTGATAGGCTCCTATTAATTAAACTTGTATTAAGGCAAGAGATAATTAAGATTAGTGCTTATGCACCACAAGTAGGGTTTGATGATAGAATTAAGAGACAATTTTGGGAGGACATAGATGGAATAGTCCAAGATATACCAAATGGAGAGAGGATCTTTTTAGGAAGAGACTTAAATGGCCACGTAGGGAGGACAGTAGAGGATATAAAAGGGTACATGAGGGATATGGGTTGGGGAAAGAAATGAGATGGGTGAGACTATTCTAGATCTTGTTATGCCTATGACCTAGCAATAGCAAACACTTACTTAAAAAACCGAGATGAACATTTAATAATTAATAAAAGTGGATCACATAAAATCCAAATAGACTTCTTCTTGGTTAAGAAGGCAGATCGACCATCGTGTAACGACTGCAAGGTTATCCCAGGAGAGAGGTCGACTACTCAACATAGGCTCGTGATTATGGACATCTGCATAAAGACATGGAAGAGAAAGAGTGAAAGTAATGAGTGTCCATGAACTAGGTAGTGGAATTTAAAAAATGAAAAATAGACTCATTTAAAAATAAATTAGTCGAAAACTTTGAACATGATGTCAATGTAATTTGGAATGGGATGGCTGACTGTATCAAGAAAGTGGCAAAAGAAGTTCTAAGAGAATCTAGAGGAAAAAGAAATTCTGATAAGGAAACTTGGTGGTGGAGTAATGAGGTCCAGAAGGCCATTAGCGAAAAACGATCAAGTCATAAAACTTGGCAGTGTAATAGAAACGATAAAAACTTAGAAGAATATAAAAATGCTAAAAAAACACTAAACAAATAGTAAATAAAATGAAAATTAAGGCATAAGATAAACTTTACAATAAACAAGGAACAAGAGAAGGTGAAAAAAATGTCTTCAAATTAGCAAAAATAAGAGAAAAAAATTTAGGGATCTAAACCATATTAAATGCATTAAGAATGGAGATCAAAGGGCCTTGGTGGATGATGACGAGGTCAACGAAAGGTGGAGAGTTTATTTTAAAAAAATATTCAATGACGAACACAATGAGAACATAGCAATAGATGGAACTGTTGTATAAATGAGGGCGAAAGTCATAGATACATTAGTAGGATTAGGATCTTAGAAGTGAAAGAAGCTTTGAAAGGAATGAAGACTAAAAAGGCTTTACAGCTTTAGGACTACATGATATCCCGATAGAGGTTTGGAAGTACATGGGGGAGATTGGTATTGACTGACTGACGAAGTTGTTCAACAAGGTACTGAGAACACAAAAAATGTTAGATGAATGAAGGAAAAGTATTGTACTACTTATTTACAAGAACAAATGAGATATACAGAATTGTGCGAACTATCGAGGGATTAAGCTCATAAGCCATACTATGAAGTTCTAGGAGACAGTGATTGAGCAACAACTAAAGTATGAAATGAGTGTATCTGAAAACCAATTTGGTTACCGAAGCTATTTTCCTACTTAGGCAACTGATTAAGAAGTTTAGGTCGAAGGGAAAAGGCCTCCACATGGTTTTTATTGACCTAGAAAAAGCTTATGATAAGAGTACCTCGAGATTTGATTTGGAGGGTGTTGGAAAAGAAAAGAGTCTCCAGACACTACATCGACTTGGTGAGATACATGCACGATGAGCGTTAATTAGTGTGGCGAACAACTGGTGGAGAGACGAGTGAGTTTTAAGTGACAATAAGTCTACATCAAGCGTCAGCATTGAGACCGTACGTCTTTGTCTTAGTTATGAACAACTTAACTAGGCACCTGCAGGATGAGGTACTATGGTGCATGTTGTTCACAGGCGATATAATTTTCATCAATGAGACCCAAAACGACATCAACACAAAGTTAGAACTTTGGTGGGATGTTCTAGAATCCAAAGCTTTTAAAATTATCCGGATTAAGACAGAGTATATGAAATGCATGTTTAGTAATAATAGGAGTAGAGACGAGGAAGTAGTTAAGATTAACGACCAAGAAGTACAAAACAAACCGCACTTTCGATACCTTGGGTCGATCATCCAAGAAAATGGAGAGATTGAGGAAGATGTTGCGCATAGAATTAGAATTGGGTGGGCGAAATAGAGATGTGCAATTGGAATGTTATGTGAACGATGCATACCAATGAAGCTGAAGGTTTCTACAGGACAACTGTGAGACCACATTTGCTTTATGGGGCAGAATGTTGGGCGGACAAAAAACAATATACTCATAAAATGAGCGTAGCAAAGATGAAGATGTTGAGATGGATAAGCGGCAAGACAAGAAGGGATAGAATTTAAAATGAATCCATTTGGAAAAGTTTAGGTGTGGCACCAATTGGCGATACGATGAGAGAGTAGACTTAGATGGGCTGGCCATATGTGGCGTCGACCTAGTATAACACCTGTTAAAAGGTGCGAGTTAGTTCAAATTGAAGGATTGAGAAGGGAAAAGGGCAAGCCCAAAAGGATGTGGTTGGGAGTAGCCCAAAAGGATGTGGTTGGGAGTAGTCCAAAAAGACATGGCGACTTATGGCCTCACTGAGGGTATGGCCTTAAATAGAACAGAATGGCAGATCAAGATTTGTATAGCCAATCCTAATTAATTGGGAAAAAGCTATGATGATGATGATGATGATGAATCCTTATTGAACACTTCTCTAAATCAAACTCAAATACTCAAAAATAAAAAATAAAATAAAATAAAATAAAAAACCCTTCACTAAAGGGATTGTGAAGTAACTTAAAACTCATCAAGTCTTACTCATACTTGACCAAGTTACTCAGATTTGGCAGCTCACCAAGTCAAGATGGAAAAACCTTGGGAATTGACCAAGCCTTGCCATGTCCCAATTTTTTGTGAATTTATTTAAGACTTGCAGAAGCTCACTAAGACTTAGCTGAGTCTAGTTGCCTGACTTGAGCTTCCAACCCTAGTGAACACAAGGATTAGGTAATCATTGAAAACTCTTGCCACATCAAATATGAGGAGAGTAATTGTCTTAAAAAATTCAAATTGAACACCTGGTAGAGCAAGCCAACACGCCACTGAAGAGCCCAAGGTTGACTTGTGACAAGTCATGTTACCTAAGTGTTATCATCCTTTTTTGAGAAGAACTGAAATGTATCATGCTAGCATTTTATATAAGTAATGTGGTTAACACTTAACATTCTTGCCTTCTCTTCTATATGAAGGTAGTCATGCCTTCGTATATTCATTATTACGGCATTGTGAGCAACAAATGAATAGATATGACCCTGTACTTTCACTCATATCCTCTCTGTTATGAAAGGTAAGTCCCGAGGGTTATAAATGCAATGAAAGGAACCTGGAACCTCCCTCACTACCTTATTGATACCCCATAAGTAGTTGTTGATGAAGATCCCCTCCATGGACTACAAGGCAGACCCATCTCATGCAGACCCTCTAATCAGGGCAACTGTTGCCTCATTTTGCACGTTTTCACATCACACCTCCATTACCACTAAGGCCATCATTAGCATCCAAACCCAAGTGAACATCGAGGACAAACCAACTGTTGATTGTGAATGTCGGTGACACTCACATGTTGCTATAATCCACCTTTCTCCAACTTAGCAAAAAAATAAACAATCTACAATTTAAGGGTCCGAAGCACCTCCTGATCGTGTGACTGTAAACCAGTCCATTATCCACATAGGGAAAAGTATAATTAGTTAAATTAAGCCAAAACCTTCTCTCTAGGTAATGCAAATGCATGTTCCTGAAAGAGAAAACTCAGCACCCATTTATGTTTAGAGAGCTAAGCCTATTTATGTTGACATAGGGGGAAAAGTCAAAAATACCGCCATGAGTGTATAGCAGTGTCAGAAAGTTAGGGCAGTCAACTCGCACTCACCCAAGTCTTTCACATGGGAACCAGCCGCCTTTGACAGGTTCCCATGATTATTTGTTTGCATTTTTGGACAGACACGGCCAAGTCTGTCAGATCAACTTGGACTCGGCACCCTGCAGAGTCCGGAGTTTATGCTTTGTTTTCATTGGAACATCGCATTAAATCCCAGCACTGTTTATATGTCCACTATGCAGCTCACACATCCTCCTTACTACCCAAGTGTATCACTGGAACAATTGCATTAAAGATACATTCAAGGTGGGGCCTGAATCCACTTCAAATAGGAAATAACTTCATATCCCTATCAACAAGCCATCTCCTTCCATGCTTGTGGAAGTACAGACATATCAGCATTGCCTAAAGACATCCCCTTTAATGCCATGGATACCAGTGCCCGCTTACATCTCCTACTGGAGCATGCAGCATCATATGGAAGTACATGTGACTACGTGACAATCGAACAAGAAGAGAATCTTGTAGAAAGAATCCTATGTTATTACATAGATTATCATTCTTTGATGTTCAAAACCCAACAATACTAATTACCCAAAAAAAAACCCAACAATACTCATAGCAAAGTGTTATAGGGGGAGAGTATGTCAGGAAGATTGGATCTTTCAGTTAGTTGCATGACTGGAAGATCTTAATACAACTGCATACAGAATTTATGTTGCCTGATTGCATCCTGTTTACATTGGCCACACAACTAGGCACTAGTTCACCTTCCAAATCAGAAAACTTAACCATGATAATCAACACCGCTCTTGACACAATCATGAACATCGGCAAAATAAGTTAGAAACTTGACCTGTCATGCTTCTCAAAAAAGTATTGGATAGGATTTAATCACCTTAAGAGAAATTCAAGAAAGTCGCATGGTTCTATATAAGTACCAATTAAGAATAAAGGATATAATTAAACCAAAATCTATTTGCTACCTTGTAAATATAGTTACCAGATATGCTTTAAAACAAGAACGTGAGCTCGGACTTGTCAGGGTCCCAAGTCTGAGTCATCCACTGACTGACCAAGTCCGACTTGGCTGAGTCACCGGATAAAATACAAAGGGGGACAAGGACTAAAAGAAACCTGCCAGAGTTTTGGTATTTTTCATCTTGACCCAGCACCCTACTAGTTCCGAGTGACTTGGGCGAGTCCAAGCCCGAGACACCAGTTTCTTAAACATTGGTTAGTCAGTAGAGTTAAAAATAATGATAAAAAGGGACAAATTTCCAACACACTGCCATCAAGGCTAATCAGCCAAAATTACAGTCAGCAAAAATAACAAAGCGTTAGATATCACCCAAAAAGAAAAGGAATAATAAACCACAAGAAGACTGTTTCTTACATGTTCAAAATATGGTCTCCTGCTTCAACAAGTGTAATTTTTACAAGGTTCTGCACAGAAGGATATAACTTGGCTAGATCTTCACAGACAAAATCGTGCAAAGCAGCTGAAAATTCAACACCTGTTGGACCTCCACCTACAACTACAAAATGAAGGATCTTTTCCCTCTCATCTTCACCTAGATTTGGAATGCTTGCTCTCTCAAAGCAATCAATGATGCCCCTACGAATTTTTCTTGCATCCTCTAATTCCTGTATCAAATTTGCATTCATAAGCAATCTGTCATGTTTATGAAGGAAACCAGGGTGCTACTCTTATCCTTAAACCAAATCCTAAACAGTATTTGTAGCATATAGTCCCTCGAGTTAAAAATTGTTATTCCGGCCAGATACATACCTTAAGGAAATGACAGTGTTCCCTCACACCTGGAATATTAAAAGTATTTACTTGGGCTCCTACTGCTATTACCAAGTAGTCATAATCCACTGAAAATTGTTCCTTCCCTTCCACAGTCACGTCATGATTGGATTGACAATGGACTTTCTGGTTTTCAGAATCAATTTTATAAACCTCTGCTTCAAGAAACTGGATATCTCCCTTTTTCTGCAAGCAGTACAGAGTCAAGTTACTATCATTGATAACCATTGGTCAATCGAAACTGCTTGGAGAACCAGTGAGATGTCCAAAACAATTTTGCAATATTCTGTTACTCTAGTGCAATAAATGAGAACCGGATATCACCAACAAGAAAATAAGTCAAGATCATGATATAGAGAAATAAGAAGCTAGAATGCAGAAAATAGGTGAAATAAAACATTAGAGTAAGATATCAATACCAATGTGAACCAATGCAGATAAGACACATTAACAAAAATAAATAAATAAATAGATCAGGACCATTACATAAACAAATAACAACTCAGAAAGCACACAGTAAATACTGCATAGAAGTCATTATACACATATATCAGGACCATCACATATTCAAGCAATAGTTTTCTACCAGCATGGCTAACCCCACAACTCACAATCTACAGAAAAGACAAAAACACTACGAAAACAGAATCAGAAGAGACAAAATCCAGTGGTGCTGCGGAAGAATGCATCTGACCATAAAAAGAAAATATGAATGAATAAAACCACTAATATCATGCAAGTAATGTAACAGAATATAGAAACTGCTAAAATATGTACCTAGCCATCAATTCAAGAACATCACTAAAGACTGCAAAATGTGGGTAAAAAGCCACAACACTCATCATAATCAATGTAAACCCTCACATTCTGGTAATCAAATACAGAAAAGCCTCATAGACACAAGAATAACGAACTAAAAAATCCTCCCACAGGGCGCTGCACAATATGCACATTTTCCATATGAACAATGCCTTCACACTTGAGGAAGATACACACAAGGATGTCAGGGGTCCAAGACAAAAAGCAAGTACAGATTCCATATATGAAATCAAGTAGCAGACTACAACAATCTAATTCAAACCAACCATCCAGACCAAAACCCCGAAATCTTTAATTATATCAAAAAATGTTACCTTCCTACAACTCTTGATTGATCTAGGAATTGGGAAATGACAAAGGCCCATCCTGTGTCCATTGTGCCCAACATTTCCAGGATTGCAGTTTGAAAATGTAGCTCGTCTGTTGCCCATTAATAAACTATGTACGCATGACGCATGATAGTACATGTAATGCAGAACAAAGAGCTGGCATCATAAGGAAAAATTCATCTTTCAAATCAGAAAGCTCCTCAAGTGAGCACAATGATCTTGACACGAACACTATATACATTTCTGACAGCAAGAATCTGACAGATCAGAGTCCTACTTTCTCCATGACAATGATATGGTCTCGACTTCTCCCATAAAGGGCCACATGATGTAAAACTCAACTAAAGTGGATTGCCTGTACATGCAAGGGAATGCATAGTACCATTCCCACATTTGAATTAAACAACGTAAAACAAAAGTGTAATCAACCAGAGACTGGATCAAGCTATTTTGGCAATGCATCTCAGCTCTGCGCTATCAGTAAGACTTGAACAAGCAAAGAAATATGCATTCTTCCTATCAAAGGACAATATATTTCATTTACATGAAGAAAAGGACAAATGATAAGAAGTGCACACTAAGAGGATGTACGACTAACAAAAAAATCAGAATGCTTTTGAAGAATAATAATTGGTGCATCTGAAGGTAGAAGTTTTTACAGATGAACTCCTTACAGTATCAAAGCAACTAAGAAATGTCATACTGTGTCATGCAGTTTTGGTCTAATGGAAATACACAACTGATCCCCATGTACAAATGATTTCAAAATAGACAATCCGAAAAATAATATAGACGAAGTGTGACATTAGTACCTCAGTAAAGTTACTGCTGGAAAATGTGAATCATGGAACAGAGTTATATCCTTACTGTTCTGTCAAAATTTGAATAGTCCTTTTCTACTTCAAGAAGGTACTAAATCAAAATTCCAAAAAGAGATTATAATTGTGGATTTCGTCCAAGAAAAATAATATGATGGGTCCATTTCTTTCTAAAAGAAAAGAGAAGGTGTTGGTAATGAAACAAATGCAATTGTCAAGCCCCAACAATAACATTATCTACTTTGCCCCCACAATATCTGCCCTCATGAGAAAATTCAAGACTCCTTTATAGACCTCTTTCCAACCCCAATGTTATAAAACCCCCACCCACTCTACAGAGTCCAAACAACACCGTTGACTTCCCTAGACAGCACCATTACATAAAAAATAACCATACTTAAAAAAAAAAAATTCCTTGGCAAATCCTCCAAAACTCAACCAAAGAAAACATTCCATGAAATCATAACCCATAAGAAATAAAACTATAATATAGTTTAAAGAGACCCTACCAGTATTGAGAATCTGAGATATTAAGTGTGAATCCAGGACACATATAAAGCAAAAAAGGTTCAAATATTACTGTAATCAAAACAGATAGGCCAAATTTATCTAGGTCTAAGCGATAGGTCAATACTTACTCACCTTTTTGACAATGCTACGGACTGGCTCAACAATGCTCCTTGGTTCAACTGTACCACACGTCACACTTGGAAGCAATGGAGTGAATGCAAAATAATTGTGAGCTGACACCACTTGAACATCATACAAGGAACTATCTAAATTCTTCAGGAAACTTGTTCCAGCCCATCCAGATCCAAGAACTACCACTTTCTTTTTCTCCTGAGAAGTTTCTGTGACACCAGAACCACTATTTGGCTTCGTCTCAGCATATACCAGAAGGCCTCCACTACTGTTATAAAATGGATCCTATTTTGTCAACTTCGCTACAAAACCATGCTAAAAAGAATTTGATGGCAAAAAGGGAAAATACTATCACCCCTAGATACAATGCATGCAAGATAATGTCAATCTAAAATTAATATAACAAACCACAAATTACACTTTATTCGCCTTAAGCATTGATGCAGCAACAATCGGAAAAAGCGAGAAAATCTCAAAAGAGGGAGTGCGCAACAACCATTACTCGAGCATCACAACTCTAGAACTCAAAAGTTCCATTAGAATATCAATAACATTTCATACCACCTCCTCAAAATGCACATAATAGTCTATTTATAAGCATATGAAACCCTAAATTAACATGAGATCCAACTAAACGATTAAGACTCTTAAATACCCCTAAACAATATTAAAAGTTGCAGAAATACCCTTATCAACAGTACCCATGAACAAGCTCCTGAACAGTACCCATGAGTAGTAACTCGTGAGTAGTACATAAATAAATAAAATAAAAGTAACGTGCTAGAGAAGTCATCAATAAGACTGCATCAATTCCCCCTGATTAGAAGAAGAACTCGCCCTCGAGTTCTTTATTAGATCTCCATGTAATAATATACTGAATATAGGGTTGAATAGAATCCTTCATGAATAATAGTTGAAATTCATTCGAAAATCCTTCTAAAATAAGGTCCGCTGCTGAACTTAGAAACTTTAATATCTTTAAAATCCTTCTGACAATAAAAAATCAGATTGTCATCATATACCTCTTTGAACACATGTTCTTCATCTAGGTACTTATCATATATAGGCTTACCGGTTACGTCAATTAAGTGGTAATTCACTCTTGCTTCTGAAAAGACACCAGTAAACAGATTCTCTTTAGAAGCTTCTAGAAAATATTCATGAAGTGTCAAGTAGTTGGTGTGAATCTCATGCAGCTCATACTCACCCAACTTGCCTTCAGGGTTGCAGCTTGATGGATCACCAGATCCATCAGTTAATCCAACCTTAAAGTCAAACCCCTCATCGATTGTGCATCCTAGGTCTCGAGGACAGCTACCAAATCTCTAATCTGGTGCAATCAAGCCTTCTCTGATACTACTTAATGGAGCAAGAATTAAAAAAACCAAGAAAATCTCAAAAGAGGAGAGCACAAAAAACAATTATCGAGCGTACAGCTCTAGAACTCAAAAAGTTCCATTAGAATATCAACAAAATTTCACACCACCTCCTTACAATAGACACATAAAGGTCTAGTTATAAGCATATGCAACCCCAAAATTAACTTGAGATCAAAGAAAACAATTTAAGACTCTAAAATACCGCTAAACAAATATTAAAAAATTTCAGAAATACCCCTATAAATAAAATCCCATGAACAGTACTCATGAATAGTAAAAATAAATAAATATAAAAATCATGCACTAGAGATGTCATCAATAGGATTGTGTCTGGCACTAACTATACAAATAGCTACTTTAAATTCTCACTAGGCTCCCATGGTAGTTCCAAGTTAAGCATATGACCTCATAAAAGAAGAAGAATAAGCACTACCCAATAAGCACATTTAAAACTGAGCAATGATCCAACCAAAGGTTGTATCACAGTATAACGCAACGACACTTCTAGAAAATCATGTTTGTGGTATTTGTATGACCTCAAATTTTGCACACACACTCTCTTCATCTCAATAATCAATCCCCCCAAAAAAAAAGTCCAATTTGAACCCAATATATGGCCAAAATGAGTCCCCTTCAAAAACGAATCTAGACCATTCATTTTGTGAATTTCAAGATCTTAACCTTTATAAACTCAAAATCATTATTTTCTTTTTTAACATTGTTCATCTAATGAATAATAAAACCAT